TTGTTTGGCCCGGATGCTATGCTTTAACTTAGAAAACCTCGTTTTTGAATCCAAAACTCGATTGAACTGAGCTTCGAATATTCCGTTAGATCAAAAATAATACTAACGTCAACGGAAATAAATAAAAACCCAAATTTTATTAACGGAAACTGGGTAAGGATAACGGAAAAAGTTTCGGGTTGTCACAACATTTGAATAAGAAATCCAAGATTTGAATGTAGAAATGAAGAATATTTAAGAGTAATGAGGAAGAACTTACCAAGAGTGAAGTAGGAACAATTGCTTCCTGGGAATAATCTCGAATTCTAGAGAGAAAAGTGGAAGGAGGAAAAAGTGTTCTTTTGGAGGATATGGGTGAGGTTTTATAGGTGAAGGTTGAAAATCTAATGAGTAGATTTGTTTAAGAGAATCCGGTGGAGTGTTGGAAGAAAGAAATGGATTGACTAGGTACCTTGTGAACAGTGACATAAAGCTGTCATAGAGTGGGTGATTACCTCTTGAATAAAGTCCTAAGTCTTAGACATTTTGTAATAAAAGGTGTCCTAACTCTTCAAGGTTGACATAAAATAGGAGTTTTGAGAGTTTAAGTCATGAAAATAATCAAGTCTAAGGAGATTTCCGTAGTCAAAATCACTTAGAATTGCCAAAAGTCTGATATTGACAAAATCCGAAATGGGGTTCGGATTTGCGAGGGTTCCGGAGTCACTTAGCCACTTCCAGAGTCAATTTGTCAATTTCAAATCTCGTCCTCGGTTCCGGAGTGGAGGTGCGGAGTCACAGCTTCCGGAGTCGTCTGACTCTTCCGAGATGCGAGACTTCCGGCATGCAGAAAGGGTTTCCGGAGCATGCGAGATTCCTCGGTTCTCCTTAGAAGGTCCGAAGTCAACCCTCATTCCGGAGTCAGGAAGATCTAGAGTAGGCTGGTCCTTGGAGGTGTGAAAGAGTCCGGACTATACGAAGTTTCGAAGCTCAAGGATGGTTCCGAAGTCAGAAGTGTTCCGGACCAAAAGGAGAGGTTCCGAAAATAAACAATGTATTCCGAAATGAGCTTGTTCTTTTGGGTTTTCTCTATCCGTTTGAGCCATTTTTGAGAACGGAAGGGATGGGTTGATGTCTGTTTTATGGAAAAGTCTGAGAGAGATTTGGGAGAGATTTAGAAGAGATTTGAGGTACAGGTAGATATGTGGGAGAGACTTTGTTTGTGACCTGTATTAGTGTTTAGCCTCGTAATGCAAGGTTTGAAAACCCCGTTATGGCTCGTTATGAGTGTCATACGCCCCCGAAGGGTACTTAAAGGTGTCTTATCGAGTTATTACATCACTTACTCCTTTTAGAATTTTAGTTTTTCTGAACATTGGAAAACTCTCAGTGATACTTTATATTAAGATAGAGAGTTGTATATTAGTAAACATAGAGTAAGTCCTATCATACAAGCACTAACTGAATTTATCGGTTTGACTTGTTGACTTTGACTTGACCAGAAATTTACGGTTGTCACACCAAACATGCTATATAACCACTTAGATGTAAGAAGGATGTCATAAGAAAATGAAAAGAAAATATTTCAATAGGCACAATTCTTTTAGAACGTATTAGCAGTGATGGAGTCCCTAAAAGATATCTACAAGTCAAGGTTGTAGATGAATGTATCATTTTTTACTCGTAGTTTGATTGTTTTATATTTTTTTCCTAATAGTGATGTGCGATTCGAGTTGTGGTTTGCAATTTTCGATGTTCAATGTGAGAAAATCATCATTACCCTATTTGTTTTTATCTCTTCGTTTTTGTTATGAATATTTCAATATGCTTTGTTTTTTCTTAGATTTTTGTTTCCTTTATATTTACATTTGTACATGTATAAAAGGTTTTTTAAACCACATATTGTAATTGATTAAAACAATACATGTTAAGTATATTGATATGCTCCATAATTTGTATCATAAAAGCTTAATTTCAAGTCCATCGTTATAGCAAGTTGTGCAAATCTTATATGA